GAGAGACACGGGATTGGCTGAGGCCAGGTGGTCCAACATGTCTGCGCCCTGATCCGACGCCACACCACACCACACCACACAACACTACACCACACCACACCAGTCCTAAATGATATTCAGGTCTTCTCTACTTCCTTTAATAATTTCCTGTTAGTATTTTAAGTACTACTGCACAGCACCATTTGGTAATAAATATTTAATAGTTTAATGTAAACCAAGAATATTTGAAAAGTTTGGCTTGAAGTTTTTGAATAGATATAACTTGGTAAAATTATTTAATTTTCTGTTTTGACATACCTTGATTCCCTTGTGATGTGTAATATTTGTGGGATCAAGGTTGCTCAAAGTGACTAAGCTACAATCGGCAGTAGTATCTGCGCCATTCCGGATACTTTCTAAGAACGATAACACAATAGGGAATTGCCGTATTGATTTCAAGTACTGGCAAACATTGATGTCTGTAGCCAAGAATGAAGTGAAATCCTCATAGCGTACTCTGGTTATTGTGATGCTTCGTTATTTATTTCAGAATATGGTAACAGTTCGTGAAGAAACTCAAGGTGAACATTTGGGTCCGGTCTTTCTTGATGCTGTTTTGTCGCAAAAGAAACGGAAAGTTCTTTTGACAACGTTTACATCCTCTGCCTCCCTCATCCTATCATGGCCATTTCCTCTCATTATTCTCTGCTTCCAGACCAATCAGCGTCTCATTTTCGATCCTCGTATCTATGCGGCTCTTACGATTGCATATCTTCTTTCTGGCTGCCTTAAGCGTCTTCTTTTGAAACGCTTTGTTTCGCCGAGTTTTTTCAATGCGATCACTCCAGCTATTTTGGGGCTAATTGGCAATGGAGTTTTTATGACGGCATTATATAAAAGTGATAGTTGGAACTGGGTCTCTGTCTTTTTTATGTTTGCCAGTCGACTGATTTTTGGTTGGTCCACTTACTCAGCAGAGGACTACAATCGACGAGCAAGAAATGAAGCCAAGTCAAAAAGAGAAGGTGAGAAAATCAGAGAGCGTGTAGGGGACATGGTGCCTGATCTGCAGGATGCAGCTTTTCATATTGGCGTTCTTGTTGCTCTGGTGATTTGCTTTATCCTTGAAGTTTGTTTACGATATATGGGTTCGCAACTTGCCGAATTCTACTCCATGTTGATCTTGTCATCGTTCTCTGTAGTCTTGTCATTTATTTCTGTCCCAAGTCTCCATGCTGCTGTAAATAAACTGGTAAAGTTGCGAACACATCAAGATGATGATGGCCACCCGGAAATCGGGTCGCAAGCTCAACCAAACCGCTCAGGTGGCAGCACAGGTGGGAGGCCCTGTCCACATGCCGGTAACGATAGTCGTAATGTAAGCTCTTCTAGAATTCTTTCTTGTATTTTATAATCAATGTATGTGCACTTTTCTGGCTTGTATTAGCAGCTATTTTTGTTTGTTTGGATGGGATTTGAAAGCTTTCACTCAAAATCCCACTACAAATAACCTTACTCCAGTTTTTTTCAAACACTTACATAAAATTTACTACAACTGTGGCCCTACATTAAACAAAATTTTTACCTTTTAAAAAACTGTAATTTGAGTACTTATTTCCACATTAAGTTAAAATTTGACAGCACAAGCCCGCGCTCAACCAAATTTGGGTCATTATTTTTTATTTGGTCGTACTATATTCACCAAACCTTGTACAGGATGCTTTACTTTCTCCGAATACCGAACGACCAACTAATTTAAAAATGATTTCAAGTGCCAATTGGGTTAAAAAGTTTACCATCGAGTATTTTTAACAGAATCTCCTAATTTTACTCAACTCGAGTCGACAGGTTGCCTTTAATGTGTTAGGGAATCAATTATGACATCACTGATCTCTCACAAAAACTTGTAGCGTTAAACAAAAACGGATGAAGTAACGAATGTATGAGAACTGATTCGGAAGAATTGTAACATTGTGTGCTTTTCGATACGTCAGACTGTGTCCCCTAGAAACGGGTGATTTTGGGTGTTGCACATTTCTTGATACTCCATTTAATGCCATCCAAAAAATCTGTGAGTTAGAGGGTAAGAATGTTCCATAGCTTCACGTATTTGGAAGGTTCGCAGCACATTTGTCTTACTTCGGTAAAGAGAGGCCTGGGAAAATGTGATTTTGTGAGAGGAATGGATTAAGCAACTGTGCCCAGAGAGCCGTCTTCATTGGTTATTTCTGGGTAAGCTATAAATAGAAAGGAAGATAGGGAAAAGTCGTGTTGCTTGGCAGACTATCATCAAAGGTGTTTATGTAAATGATGATCTAACATTTCTTGACATATAAACCGTGATGGATTTTTGATTTCTAGAGATCTATACTGTACAAGTACGAGTGCTTAATTAATCGCCTGAAACTCAAAGGGACTTTCCTCGTCTGACATTAGTTGAGTTTCATGCATGATGAACAGAGGTAGTTAAAAATAATTTTGATTCTTCCGTCTGGTTTTTTTCTGAGAAACAATGCACGATATGGTTAATGACTTTTCGTACTAAACTTTTCAGGAATTAGCTCGCAATCCAAGGCTCTATTTGCATGACTCACGTAGTCGGTTCTGAATCAACTCGTACACGAATGTGCCTAATTTTCATTTTTGCCTAGTTACTTTTTGTTTACATCTTAGGTGGAAGTACGAAGACGTGTGATTTCCTGGTCACTGACGGTTCGTGAAAACTATTTAATTAGCACCATCTTTTCTTCTTTCCGTCGCCATCATCCGCCAGGTCAGCTTGCCATGACCCTTTTCTCCGCACTTCTCACAAGCGCTACGATCCTATTTGACTATCTGCTTCTCCCCTATTCCATTATTTACCTCAAAAGAGCCCTCTTCTCATTAACACTCGATTATTTTCCTTTCCCTGACCTTATTTTCGTCTATGCCACTCTCTTCATCTCAGAATTGGTCTCTCGAACTCTAATCCTCAAATATTCCTCGTTTGCACGACGAACAATTCGTTTAGCAGACTCAAGTCTAATTGGTGTGCTAATCGCGATTTCCTCGATCTTCATTTTTGTGCCTGTGGTACTCTACCTAGTTTTTATGGTGGACATCGGGACAGCGAATAGCGTCTGTGGTGTTTATCTCTTCGGGCTTTGCGTGGTGGAAGGCTTACTCAAAGCAGCTCATTCTCTATTCGGGGGCATACTCTTCACAAAATACTGTGATGAGCTGTCAATTGTACCCCGAAGTGTAGCAGAAACAGGCGAGCAGTTGTTGGGTGTCGCGAGATGCTTTTTCTCAACCCTGGTGTTCACCATTGGAGGCATTGTCCTGTACTACGAGGTTGGTGTGTTGTCATGTAACAATTTAAATGTTATCAGTTCTTTGATTTCGCTATGTTACATGGTTGCGTCGTTTTCATGTCATTTTTGTGTTAATAATTGGCGTGAGACTAAATTTCGAAGTCACTTAGATGGTTACTAGATCAATCACGTTAAAATTTTCCCGTTACAGAGCTGGCTCCGTTATATTTTTTCGATTTCTCTGGATAAAACTTGTAGAGTTCCCTCAAAGTGGTTTTAATCAGGAGTACTTATAACCATCATTGATGGATGCTGCTTACGACTTTTTGAAGTATTCCAGTTTCTCATTGCTCGTCTCTCCAAACGATGCAGGTTTGCTAGCTTTGTGGCTTGTGTTGCTCACTTTTAAAGGTCATTCTTAGCCGGTGGTCTAGAATCTCCATAACATCATAGCGCTTTGTTTCATTCCTCATTGACCACCTAATTTATGTGAAGGCTAGTGGGTTCTCACGTGTTTTGATTGGTATTCGAGTTGTTCTGAAATATCTTCTAAAGCCGTAGACATTCACATTCCTACTTATTTCCACCTTTTTTTAATGTAACATTAAATACGCATTCTTGAGATGGCTGACCGCTTAATTAAACGGCCCTCGTGAAAAGTTGCTTGCTCAACCCCTAGAGGTAGACCTCATTTGATAAACAGTTATCATCTAATCTGGAGAAGCCTTTGCCCTGAACTATCACCTATCAAGATCGATGAAACCAAATCGAAATCGCAGGCGTTTGAAGGTAGTGCCAGATCACCTTGCATTAGTTTTGACCCAAGCTGTCTAACATAATCTCATACATTCTACTTACGATGATCGATTTATTACTTGACTTCAATCAGGCTTGCGTCTTGAGCACGAATAACAGTAATATTGTCTTTTTTAGCGCTTCGCGGCAACCATGGTTATGGTTTCCGTTGTGCAGTGCTTGGCACTCTCTGTCGCTATTTTCGGATTCGCTGAAGTTTTTACTTGTGAAAAAGCCCTTCGGGTCCGCATTGAACTCCCAGATTAGGGATCGAAGTAAATGGTATCAAATGTACATTAAATACTTACTTAATATAGTATTTCCTTACCATGAACTTTTGTGCCTTTAAATTATTGCATTTTCAATGTTTTAAATCCCTTAAACAATCTAGTTGAATTGCTGTAGAGCAATCATATAAAATTGCACATTTACGTCTGTCATTGTTAGATGTATCCGACATATTCCAGTTAATTCGATAGTTGAACATTTGGGAGTTAGCAATTTGTATCTCTTTTATTGATTCACCTTCGGATCCTGGTTCTTTTACACAGTTGGCCTTGTTTGTTAACCTTAGTAAGCTTAATGCACTTATCTCTGCTGAATTTTTGAATAACTGCAAGTCACTGTCGTGTTTGAGGAAGAGATGCCTGACTTGATGGTGATCCCTACTTGGGTAATGCAAATTCTCTATGGGTTAAAACTTTACACATCATTCCTAAAAGCCAGGTGTCAGCCCATTAGACCGCTTACGAGTCAAATTTTTGCTGTGAATGCAAATTTCTGTCATGCGAAAATTGGTTCTTAATAGTAATTTTATCGACTCTAGACTTTCCCTCATATTTACGGTTCTGCAAAAGCAACCACTAGAAATCACTCATATTTTTGGAAGATTTGTTTCACTTTTTTGTGAAATAATTGTCTTGTCAACGATGTTCGTAGAACTTTTTCACAATGTGGTAAATCTTTTATCGAAACAGCGAAATGCAAGGACGTGCTGAAGAAATTTGCACTTAATCCCTACCACGTGGTCGCAGTCAAAAACAGCGAGAGATAGGGAATCGGGGGCCATATTCAAAGGACTATTGGCATATTAACAAGCTTAACGGCTTTTTCCTTATACTTAATTTTAAGTTTTGTTTCCCTGAACTCTTGTATTCGATACGAATCACTAAAAGCTCGGTGTGATAGAAACTTGGGGTGAGTGTAAATTTAGCAATCTTTTTTTGCCTTCCACGACAGACTTCTAACGCCAAAAACCGCTCAATATTGTCCAGCCTTCTAAGAGATGCCGACCTTCAAAAGTCTCCATGGTAAATATTGGAAGCTTGTTTGATCAAATAACTCCCAAAGAATTTGCACTCGCGTTATAGTTCGTCAAATCGTTTTTTTACGATGTCTGTAAATCGTTAAAATTTTAACACGATACTAGGTAGCTGCTTTTCATGGAAGTTGAAACACCACTGTAAGTAACGTAGTGTGATGCTCGCGGCTGATCTATTCTATCCGATGCGCTAACCGTTCACCTTCAGAAGGGTGCGATGAGAGCTTGTTAAAGATGTTTACCGGCGCAAAAGAATCCTCGAAAGTACGCAAGAATGTTTAGCGGTTCAAAATTAATGACTAAAGTACTTTGGTAGCAAAATTGACCACCTGCATATGTAGCCCTTTTTGAGGCCTCAATTCCGCTCGTATTCATGAGGACAATCACTTTCTTTTCACTTTTAACTTGAGTGTTGATGTTAGTATCATTCCTTCATCGCTTCAGAAACAGACCCTCCCGACTGTTTTTTACACTATTTGGTTAGCAATGTCTGGGATCACACTTTTCCCTCGTGCACCTGTTCTCCTTATCTAAATTGAGGGCTTTTGGAATGTTGGTTATAGCCCTGCGAATAGTGGCTGCTTATAATGGACGAGGCTGAATTCTACTACATTGTGCAACTCGGTGTTGTTTGATTTTCTGACGCCACGTTGCCTCTACTGCATCTTCGATTATTGACAAAAGACCCACATCTGTGGCCGTGTTCATTTGTCTCATTTTCATCACCCTTTTTTATTTCACAGAATCGGTATGAAAAGGATAGAATAATGAATTTTATGGACATGCAGCCGAAAGATATGCTGAAGACTAAAATCAATGGATAGATGTAACTGACGTTCCCTTAGTTTTCTGGCTATGACGCTACTGACATCTCACCTCCTAAACATCCAATTCTCGATTGAACATCACTACAGATAATTTAAAATGGACCCTGTGGTCACAACTCTTTTGTTACTAATGTATGCATTGTAGGTTTTATCACCTATCAAACCCTCGAATGTTGCTGTAATCAATCAAGAGAGAAACTTTTTTCTTTTACTAGATTGTCGCCACTAAAGCCTCACAGTTTGGTAAAGTGTTGCCACACCACTTGTGCAGTTAGCGAGGTCATTCGAGTAGAACCTTGTCAGAACGGGTTTAAGATTTGTTTAGTTGTAGCTGCCATGCGCCGCTTACATTAATTTCTGTTTTCACCTGCTTTTTTAACACGCCTACGAACCTGAAAACAGTGACATCGTGATTAGTAAGTAAGCAAGTGTTTGTATCTCCCTAGCCCTCTTTCTTTATCACCGTCTTTGAAGACCCAACGTTGCTTGCCCTATTCTCCACACCCATATGCGACATGGTATCATACTCAGATAGGGAATGAGCTTGTACTTACGGTACGGAAATATAGCGTTATAACTATCCTTATATGTATTAATAAAATCCAAAATGGAAATAAAATATGAAGTTCACAAAACGAAAGATAATCCGAATTCAACGACGATAATTAATCAACAATAGCTTCTTCACTGTCGCATGGGATTGCTGCGCAGCGGCCGTCAACTCACATGGAACCGCAAAACTTCCAACATCTCGCAACTTGTCCAACATTGTGTTTTTAAGTCGACGATGTGAAAACTTTCTGACAGAGAACCAGTGGCATAGTTCTGGTTCAATATGAACTTTTTTCGTGAAATCCTGCAGGCTAGGATAACAGTACATGTTTGCGTGAATACTAGTGTGTAAAGTGATAAATAGGAAATTACAACTTTTGTTTACATCACCGTGTTGAGGGTCCCAGCATTCGGTCCTAAACCACAACCTAGGTACCGCGTTGGTTGACCCGATTACGCTACACTGATACCCGGATAGATTAAGAGCAAAAACGACGAGACAGCCGTTTGTCACATGGTCCAACCTAGATATGTATTACTGTCGTGTAGTGTATGATTAAAGCAGTTATGGACCGGCGGGGCTTAGGTGAACTAGTAGAATCAAAAATGACTGGATAACTACATGAATGAAGCGAGCATCATGAAGGGTACATGTGCGGCGGACTTGCATCGATCGCGCCTGAGTGAAGCTTGTTTACATACTTGATGGTGTAAATGACTCACCACCGATTCACTGGTTAGTGTTATCTGTCATCTGACACTCAACCACACTCTTGGCTGGCGTTACGCTAATAAACGGCCGTGTGCGCGGTGACCGCCTTGGCTTTGTTTTCGAGTTGCTACGTGCTGGTATTAGCGCAAGCAAGCTACTATTAATGCACTAGGGTGTATGAGTAAAAGCTTCCGTACGACTTACGAAAGCATACAGCAGCAATGTTGATGGACGTGAATCAACACTGTTCACTACATCTAAGATACCATTTTGAATTAAAATTCGGTAGTCAAATATCTGCTTAATAATTACAACTTGAGTGAAAATTCACACAGGATGAGGTCGCAAATGCACAAAATAAGTTATAGATAGCTACTAACGTGTAATGTACCAACTTAAACCTAGGTTGACTTAAAACTAGATCCAAAAAATTAACTGACAAAAAATGGTTAAACATCATTCTCACTAGAAAAATGAACCTTACATATAAGGAAATTATTTCAGAACAAAAAGGAACATGTAATACTTTCCCATGAAATTCAGGTTCTTTAGCTGCAAATATGCTGGTAATAGATCGCATTAAAATTTCAGTTAAAATATGCAAACAAGACGGTTGTATACGGAGTCTGAAGGTCAATACAATTAATTTAGTTATTATAAATGTAAAATAATTCATTGGGTTCTAGAATATAAATTGAGAAATAAAAGGGATCAGGTCGAGAATAAAAATGCCAGCCAACGCCTATGTCTATCACCACCATTCCTACAAGGTTGCCAAATTGAGTTGTTCCCTGGTTGGTTATGGATGCCATTTCCAAAACCTTAACAAGAACATCCTGGTGTTACTGCTATTATTAGGATTCAGCTTCCAAAGCGCACCCAGGCTAGGAGTGAAGCAAAACGATAACTGGGTACGAAGCTGACTTTAAATAAAACCTGACTGCTTATCAAGTGGAAGTCGCAGTGCACAGAATAGGTCGAGAGTATTGTATTATTATGTTAGTTTTGATAGTTGCTACGAGACCAACTTCATTCGTAAAACAGGGTTTGGATGGCTATTAAATAAAACCGTAATCTATACGGCTTACAGTCATTTACATTAAATAGGTGGTTTGAAATTTCGTTTTATATATCCTTCCAACTTGAAATGGAAAATAAAAATTTATGTTGCATTAACGTTGTCAGTAAAATTTAATATGAGATAAAGCAGCAAAATCTTTATGTTAAGCGTAATTAAAAAATGTCTGTATTCCCAGAGTTTGGTTCTTTTCATCATAAAATGCATGCAATAAATATTGGTGGGATAGTGAATTCCTAGTTCAGATGGTTTGTAAAAAGTCCGTAGTATGTAGGTTCCAATTGAAAAAGTTTAATCAAAAGAATGCTCACGTTTATGTAAACATTTAAGACCCTAATATAGCATAATCATTGTTCTTTAATATGAGGGAAGGTTTAATCTGTAAATTTGTTATTGGGAGAGAAATCGTCACGATTAGACACCAACATTTCTGACCTCAAATACATATTCTAGCTCCTAGCTGGAGAAACGTTCTTTAGGTGATCATGTCTGACTTAGCACTAATTTGCCTCTTGTGCACTAGATAGATGACGCTTTCATTGAATCGGTTTTCGCCCGAAAATTGTGTCGAAAGAAGACTGTTGTGATTTGATTAGGTTGTTAAATGAACAGCCACAACTTCTGAAATAATGTCTGTCTTTAAAGGAACATGAACATCTGGGATAAAATGAGAGAATTTATAAACCAAAGTTCAGAAGCAAGAGTCAATCTAGAGTCTTGTGAACAGGCTGTTAAAAGGCATGAGAAGCATCATCAGTATAATTTAATTGTACCAATGCTATGTTTAATGAACTACCATCTTTTTTAAACATTAATAATTTTTTTATTCAACTAAGTTTGCTAACAAACTTTTGAAGGCCTAGCCAAAAGATAAAGGGGACAATTTTAAATGGGTGCGAGTATTTCCATCGCAGTCTGCATTCATAACCGACATTTATAACATCAAAGGGACCCAATGAATGATCTTATTAGGTAGAGTGTAGAAGTAGGCACATGAATGCTTGAGCATGAGATAGTTAAATCGAGAAAGTGAGAAAGGTTGACGTGGTGAGTTGACATGAGATTTGGGTGGTTGCAAGGTCGTGGAACATGCACCTCGTCATACTTTCGACTCCCCGGAGAAATGTAAAAAGAATTCAAGGAAGGAATAATGGCGACCAAGTACGGCCTTGGGTCGCGCGCTTGCAAGATGGCTAACCCCCAATTTTGTCAATTTGAACTAATTTCTCCATAACTATTTTGGTGCCTGTCCCGATTTTATCAGATATAACGGCGGTAGTGCTACCATAATAAAACCGAGCAGTTAAATGTTCAGTTATTATCATGAATTTGCAGAAATTGCATTAAACCACCAATAATACATAGTAAAACCTGATTTGAATCAGATTTCCCCTTACGTTTAAGATGTTAGCTTGAATTATTTAGCACAATACTGATTGCCTAAATATACTTCGGCGACATAATGCAACATTCCTAAATTGTATTGTATGGATCATTTTACCTAATCAAGGGATAAGCTAGATGTCCATGCATTACGCGCTGATTCTAAACCGCGCGGCTAATCTGCACGGGTGTGCTGCTTTTCGTCAAGAGTAATTTCTGATTACTTATATGCAGAATCAGTGGGCTAGACACTAAGAGAGACCTTTTAAGACTTGGTTTGTAGACGATTACTAGTTGCAGTCGTGTAATATATATGAATCAGCCACAATCATTACTAAATGGATATTTCATACGCATTTACGTCTAACGCAAAATTGTTGAAGGCACAAATGGTCTCTTTAAACTCTATGATTGAAATCGTAGTCGCGATTAAAATGTTAAGATCTACCTTATCGTCGCTCGCTGCAACTATCATGTTCAGTAGTTTGTAGTATATTAGCAAGGATTGTGGAAACGGGGGTCGAGATGGTGCCCGTTCCACATTGGCTTGCAGCAATGGGGAAGTAAGTTATGCACGCGTCGACTGATTTTATATTCCCATAATTATAATGTAAGCCTTTTAACTAGGTTGTTTCTGCGTGTCCTCACCTTTTGTGGTCGTATCGTTCGTATTTTGCATTCTTGTCGTCGTTCACGTTATTTTTGTAGTTGAAATTCAGGCTTTGTTGGTCGAATGTAATAATAAATGGGGTCATTCGGTCCCATTAGCTGGGGTTTTTAAATACTGTGCTATTTGGTTCAAATTTAAATTGACTAAATATGTTCTGATTTTTATACGTTTAGTTTTTTGCATCCTCAACTTGTAGCACAATGCAGCTACAGCCTTATATTAATTGGCTACAGCGTTTTACTCTGTACGAAACACCTGATGACATCTTTATTGTTGCCTCTGATACGATTGAGAAGGCGTTTCGTGTTATGAAAATTTCTCGAAAACCAGTACATGTCCCGGACTGCGATTCTGAACCTACACTTTCTTCGGAAACGGTAGAAGATGCGAAATGGAGATTAAATATTCACACAGATCCTCATGTTTACAGTCAATCAGAATTGACTTGCTTTTTTCCGTCGAATAAGGTGGAGAGTCAGGTATCAATTTCGTCGTTTTTAACAGTAAAACTTCTTCAAGGTCTCAATTTCACCCGGACCCTGTAGTTTTAACGGTAATTCACCTTGCGTTTTGTCTCACTCATGTAACTCAGTGGTATCGGAACCCGTCCCTCCATCGGCTAGCATTTGCCATCATCTGACTAAATCGCTGACAGCGGTCGGCCTTATCGGTTTCATCCGATTTTTGAACGGCTATTACTTAATCGTGATTACTAGACGACAAAAGGTAGCAGAAATTGGAGAGCACACGATTTACAAGGTATTTAGTTATAATTGTTATTTTTAAAGGTGTATCGCTAGTAAAATTTAAAAAATCTTATAGTCATATGTTATGGTTGCATTAGACAAATCGCTCCCTAAAAGGTCGACCTTTTTATCAATTTAAGCTCTTGCTATTTTTTGGCATAACATGAGCATTACACTCGGGAAGTGTTTTAATTTGAATTCACAAGTATGTGTTAGCTAGTTATAACACGTATTTGCCCCTTGTAATCTTGCTGTTATCTCCGCTGATGACCGCAATGAAGTGAGCCTTGTATATTCAGAGCCGTTGAATTCACTTTATCCTTCCTAAATTCGTTTGCATATTGAAATCCAGGTTGAAGAGACGAAAATGGTGTACGTTCCTGGGGCTGAGTCAGGTTTGTCAAAGGAAGATACTGCGGGAGTAGGTAACAAGAAGTCACTGGTTGCTAATGCTTCGGAGGAATTACGACTCTTGAAACTGTTCCAAAGCATAGAACTGAACAGAAATTTTTACTTCAGCTACACCTATGACCTGACTAACAGTCTCCAGACCAATATGGAACCCGTGAGTCACCTTCTTGAAACGCCTGAAGCAATCTACATATTCGCCAAAAAGTGTTGGACTGTTAACTTTGTACATTTTAAGTTGGACCTTGACCAATTCACCTGAAACAAAACGTATTTTAAAGTTTGATGGATTAAAGTGTTAAGAAAGTGGTAAGCATAAGTGTAAACCACTTTATTCGGATGCTGTATTGTTGTACCGGTACAGGACTAAACATTTCTCGCTTGGTTAATTAGACATCGTTTTTCCTAGTAGCTGCAGCCTGTTGGAGTTTCGAAAGACTAACACCTAAAGTTGTTGGAAAGCTACAGCTGGTGGTATAATTAGGATATTAATTATGGCGGTGGTTGACACGATTGACAACCTAGTACTGTGGAATGAATAGCATTCTTAAGGGAATTATCAATTGCTCTTTAATTTACCTAGTTTTGGGCATTTTCGTCAGGCAAGACCGATACCCGTAATTTTAGAAGCAACTATCATCTCTATTTAAAGTAAATATTTAAATGTGAGACTATGAAAGTGATAATCAGTTGTCTGAAGTTTCTTCTTAGCTTCCTTTCTTCAGTTTCTCACCATACACGGGGGCGCTACTGCTTTCCGTTTGGTTATAAACCAACGCTTCCTTTGGAACGCCCCTCTTATGCCTCCCCGGTTCCAGCCTAAATCGAGCGGTATTTCCGATTGGTTTGTTGGTTTGATCCATGGCTTTGCTAAACAGACCTCTCTCGTATCGTGTGGGATGCCCGTCTCCATCCTCCTTCTAGCTCGAAGGTCACGCTTCTTTGCTGGCACACGCTTCCTCAAGAGAGGAGTCAATATCGACGGCAACGTTGCGAATGAGGTATTACTACACAACAGTTGGATTAGTTTATACAAGAAGCTCAGTGTTATGGTGCTTCCTACCCAAATGATTTTACCAATAATGTGGATATATTTTGCCTTGGAGTACTTTGCCCACTTCTCCGATCGATGCACTGAAATCACTATTTGCTCCTTAAACAAAGTAGGCTAAATCGTTTCCAATAAACTTAAAGGCAAATGCCTCTTTATGTATCTGTTCGGGAGTAGTTCAAAGTTGGTGAATCCGCCTTAAAAATTTCAACATTCTAAAACAACAATGTTTACTCACCTTATGTTCCGCTGTCGTAGATTGTGAATTGCTCTTCAAAAATTCATTCTCTAAACTCTGTATTGAATAATCAGAGTATTAGAGACCTTATTCGAAAATGTTTTCTTGTCTACGCTGTATAGATTCATTTGAGTTGCTTTTCAGAATGCCCTTTCTGTGAGTAACTTCGAAAATATTCTACGAAACCGTTGAAACTGACAGTATGTGATTGTGGTATGTATTCAGTCGCGTTTATTCGAGAATCAGCTCGTAAGTACCATATCAGACTTTAATTTCCTGTTAAATATGTCAGTTAGAAGTCTGTGTATTTCTACATTTTGATAATCTATAATCTCTCGACGAACTGAAGAACATAATTGTGATGATATTCGAAAGAGGCCAAATCGAGTAAGCCGCAAGTGCAAATTTGAGAACATCAAAAATTTCATGGTTTGAATAGTTGTTGTTAGTTAAGATCGCTGTATAAGACCTCTGCCCCCATGGCCTTATTGTAGGCCGCGCTTACACAGCGTCGAAACGCGTAGCCCAGCCATGAAGTATTCGTCGAATCCTTCCCCTTTTTCAGCCCTAATAGAATATGTGTAATGTTCAAATATGCCTTATTCACTACTTCTATTGGTCTTTGTTTGGACACTATGGAAGATCTGCTGTGCACTGTTTGATTGAACCACTTCCATGTTGTCGATTCATTTACCAATCCGAAACGTCCAAATCGGGTCCTAATCAGTGATAACATTGCTTTTTGTAGTTTAAACTGTATATCAACCAGTTTAAGTTCGTTTTAAACTCTCATGTATATCAGTTAGAAAACACGCTTTTTATCAGAAGGGAACGCAACGCTTCAGGCTATTTTATAAACGAAATAGCGTTAGGTTTGCTTGCGACCTTGATTATGAATGGGTTGTAAGAGTTATACACCAATTCACTGATAACACGTCAATTAAAACCAATGACCATCAGCATACGTATTCAAATTTACGGTATTCTCAAATTTTGCCTCCAAAATTCCACCGGAATTTCGAGTAAATGGAAGTCCATTAAACGCAATAATTTATTCTCTATAGGTGAATGTTTTTAGAAACTTGTCAAATTTATAATATGTGGGTCGTTTACGAACCCCTACCAATACATTCGGACGTAGATAATTTCATCAATGAAAACTCGACTCGGGTAGCGCGCGTTTTCGCGCTCCATCCGAAGTGGTAGACTTGAATTTGTCATCATCGGCCACCCAAATTGGGAATATTATTGTGTTTGGCTGGGTGCTTTCCCTTCTTATGAAAAAATCCGTTACCTAAATGGTTACCTAGCTATCTGCCGCGATCTATTTCTAACGTTTCTATTAAATATTAGGTGGAGACTGAGCAGATTGTTTGCGACACCACAGAGCCAACGTTGTCTAGAATGCACGTCTCGTCATTGGTTCAACATCGAGGCTCTGTTCCTCTATTCTGGACTCAGGACACCACCCGTATCGTTGTTGGAAAACCTCCATTGGCTATTACGGTTAGGCTTGTTGATTTGTTTTTTTTATGTAGAAGGTCTTTTAAAAAGAATAGACAACGTATAACTGGATGGATGAGACGTGGTGTGCAGTGCGTACCAGTCAAGCTGACTCATGCGAAATGCAATTATTGGTGTTTGAAACTATTAGTTTTACTGGAAAGTGCATGCGAACAATTAATGTCCCTTAACTGAAAGTGGGTGATGTTGTTACGCCGAAGTAATTCGTGTAATTATTAGTCATTGTTTATTAAAAGGGATTACTTCGATTTCGTCTTCTTGAAAAGTGTATTTATGTATTGTACCGAATCACTCTACAACCCTTAACTTGGACACTAAATTTCATTTGATGCCTATTTTTGCCAAACTAATCCATTAATAAATAAGAGTTGAAGTGGTTTTTCAATACATAAGACCTCTATATTCAGTTCCTTTTGATAACGGGCATCTGGCTTCCTCGTGTTCACCATTCGTAATCAATTCATGTGAATGTGTATCCCAAATCCATAAGGAATTGGATTGTTTAGTTGTCGCATTGGTATTTCTTTGTGTTTTCAAGGGTATCTGGTGAAGTTTGGCCTGTGGATCAGCTGTAGGGCCCCTTTTTAATGTTCGGTTTTCTACTAGCGTTCAGTGATGGGACTTCTAGCATTTACGGAAATGCTTCAACCTCACACTGCGCTTAATATTTTTTAAATCGTATTGTTGGGTTACATTAACTAAGGTTTTCCTCAAAACCTGCGTTTTGTGATAAAAATTTTTTGATCTTAGTGGGAGGACCCCTATTACGAGGCCTTTGGGAAGCATTTCGCTGACTTGATCGAGAGGCACGGTGCCCCAGTGCTAGTTTTGAATCTGATGAAGCAAAGGGAAAAGCGACCTTTTGAACAACTGCTTACGGATGGATTCTTGAGGGGCATTAATTACCTTAATCAAGTGAGTGATTTTTGTGTTGACGATGTCGTTTCAGTTTTTGTCAACGTCTAACAAGCTAAAACTTCCAAAAAACTTGCATTAAATGGTGTTTACTAATTAGCCTCAAAATATGTTTATCACACTGCATTTTGGTGAAGTTCACCTCTCTTACAACGTAGTTTCACTGTTAGTTCATTCCTGTTTAAATCGATCTGGGCCACTCCAACCTAAAGTTATAACTAACCTTAAAATCTTTTACATTTCTGTTTTTATCTTAAAAAGGGCTGTTTGGTCTAAATTTTGCATCCCTGCTTTACAAGTGTTTTTCTCATCTTCGTCAGCTTACGAAATTACAGTGATCTTACACAAAATCACCAACAAAAATCTTATTCAAACATTATTCCACAAATGCTTGAAAGAAATGTTCCTTTTTAGTTTGCTCCCCAACTTTACCCCTCCGTACTCACCCCCGAAAACGCAGACGAAGGAATCCCACCCATCGTCCACCTCGGCTTTGACATGGCGCGCGTCCAGCGCTCGCGCAACACGGCTGCTCTCGACAGTCTGCGACCGATTGCAGAAGCCTGTCTCCAAAGAACCGGCATTTTCTTCTCCGCAGGGTATCCACCAGCTTCCCGCGAGGCCCTCATTGTCCGTACGAGACTGAACATGGGCTCTAGTTTATGGTAGGTGCTAAAATTCCAGGTACTGAATTTGCTGGTCACTGCCTTTGTGTGATTCATGGTTGGATGTACTTCGCGATCAAAGGCGGCGCAAGTGAGTCTTGTCTCTCGGTGCTGAACTCATAAGCTAATTTATCGCTTTATTTGACGAAGTCTGTGTCCTTGAATATAATGTGTTTCATTTCTCCGGGACCGGTTTTAGCGAAACGTTCTTGTAAAGGTATGGGGATGGTGCAATGTACGTAATTCCTGCTTAGGAGGTCGTGTATAAGTTAGGTAACTCATTTTCGCCGGTTCGTAAAGCTGGTAGTCACGTAATTGGAGTTGAATCGGCTCGTAGACACCTTTGTGGAAATGCATTCAAGAACCTAGAGGTACGTAGCAGTTCGATAGCTTCAACGCTCATGATCTAAGGATATTTGATCAATCATTTCATTTACTGAACGAAACAAACATAAGCCTAACTAATTAAGTTGATCAATATCGCATTTTGATGAAAGACATCAATGCGACATCTCATCACAGTGTTAACACTAAAGACTCGTTGTTGCATAATGGGTACATTAAATGGCTTCTGTCAGAACTTTTTTTCTATCCTGTTTAAGCGATTTTAAACCAGTTTGCCCCACAATTCATAGTTCACGATGTGAAAATGAGTCGCAAACGGTCGTGAGCACAAAATTGACTAGATGTATTGGTCGATAAGGCTGTCTCCCACCCAGCGGTTTAACTAAGCCGAATTTGTGTTTTTTGGATGCCTTATAACTGTGGTCCCTTGGAATAACTGATGCTCTTCCTCCAGAACTGTTCTATATAATTCCATTGTCAAGCTGACTTCACCGATCCACCTTCAATTTTAGTCCTAGACAACATGGTGTAGTAAGAACAAACTGTGTGGATTGTCTGGATCGAACAAACACCGCCCAGTTTGTGATTGGTCACGTGGCGATGTCTTATCAGCTTCGAGCAATGGGTCTTTTGCCATTACCCGTACTTTCCTTTACCTCGACTATATCCAAACTCCTTCGCGTGAGTTTCCACGCACCAATGCTTCTCTGAAGAAAATATGGTCCTGTATAATCTCTCCACTTTTGGTTGATGTCACGCGTATGCATTGAGAAGTCAGTGTCCAGGTTTTCAGTTATGCATCAACTAAGCCAAATTATTTTTAAAAGCATGTCCTGTACAATTTGTATCCCTTTTGTTGTTAAATGACAAAGCGTCTCCACTGCACCCCTTTAAATCATATCCTGTTGCCTTATTTGAGAAATTTAAAACTAACTTGTTTAAAATATCATTTTAGTTCTGAGAAGAATCTAATGACACGCGTTTGTGGGTTTGTTTAGTGCTGAGTGTTTTCGCGGAGTGCAAATTTAACTTCTGGATGCGATTAGGCTGCAACGTGCAGTTTTTAATTAGAACGTTTCTTAGATTCCTCCAAAAGCCCTTGTACTAATTTCCTGACTGGTTTCCACCTATCTTTGAAGCGAGGGACGAATATGTTGCCTTCAGCATATCAGAAAATAGTGGGTATAAACTTCCTTTCTGCCTTAATTTAATATTTCATTCGATGATTTCACCGTCACATAAACTAAATCTTGCTTACTGTATCGTCAAAGTTAATCTAAGTTTCATTCACAGTCGTGATTCAGTCAGCCTGCTCATTTATAGTTACAATTACATTTCATTTTTCAAAATCTCAGGATCTCTACGACGAGCACGGAGACACCTTGGCTTTGCAGTATGGGGGTAGCTGTGTGGTGCATAACATCGAAACTTACCAAAAACCACGCGGATCCCGCGCCAAATCGCGAAACATCATACAAACCCTCTCTCGGTAGGTTTTCAGTTGTGCGCATCGTGACCCCAGTTGTTCGCTCAAGTTCTCACAACACGGGCCGCTTCCAGTTAATTTGACAGAGACCAACGAGCGTTCTTACATATCTACGCATGCTATGCTTGCATCATTTCTGCTTGTTTACTTCATTTGTAACCAAATTAACCAGTGTCATTTGCTGTAACAAGAGAAACTGCGCGTCGACTTTCATAATGCCCCCTTCCATTGATTGCATCAGTTCTAGATCGTGTTCTTTGTCGCCTTGAAATATCTGTTTGATTCCCAATCTAGACAGATTAAATGACCTCACTTTGGTCAATATGGCGGACTTCATCGTCTAACTAAATTGTGTGGAGTTATTAGTTTAACGAACCTTACAAGTGCTACCAAAGTCGGCGACTGCCTTATGTAGACTTGACCGTTGAAAAAGTACTGCTTTTTCTTTACAAAAATAAATTGTTTTTAAATGTTTTCAATTAGCAGTTTTCATCAATATACCATGTCTCCTCACTCGGATTAATGGTTGCTTTTTCGTTTCTCAGCTACTACTCAAACAATTTTGTCGATTTTGAGAAGCAGTTGGCCACGGACCTTTTCCTCAGGATATTTCGTCCTGGAGCCGGGCCTGTGCTACCCATCAACAGTTGGCAAGGCAACCTGGAAGCAATAGCAGCTTCGGTGTCGTGTCGATCGGGTCAGGCGTTTCTACTATCTTCTGACTCGTCTATTGAGGCTCACATGCACTGGCTTCACGCCTGGTTCAACCTTCCAGGCTGTAGAAAGGCTTTAACCAATTGGTTTCCTAGAGATGCTCTTGTGGCTAGACAACTATCGTTAAGCAAGTGGGGCATCTGGAGTTCGGCTGAAGGGAAATCGACCTCTGATCAAATGAAGGTGAAACCTGTTCAAATGCTTGATCTTCCGGCCAATGATCCTGGGTAAGTGATGAAACCCCTTTCTTTGGGGTTCTTAGATTTCCTGTATCATATTGGTGGGGGAGGATTGGCGCCGGATTTAGAAACATAGTTCGAACTTTGCTGTATTCTCAAATATTCGTTTACAATTATCTATAACAGGTAGCATTGTTGGCTGGAGTCCTAATCAAAGAAAATGAGACCGGCCTCTAATGGATTAAATCAAAAATGAATCAGAGGGAAAAAGTCCAGTTATGTGTTAAGCCACCGCTCTTATTTTACTTCCGTATTTTTTTTAAAAATTGTAATGTCTCTCCTCGGCTCGAAATAATTGACATCGGGTTTTGAAGTCGCTAATCACGGCAAGCTCCTACGCATTTTCTAGCTATCTATTGACCTAACTAATGGTCACCGTTGAGGTGGCGTCGTACAATTTTTTGTGTTTGTAAATGGAGCCTCTGTTTAACACGCACCGTCAGTCAGTAGGAATAATCCTTGTTTAAGTAAAAAGGAATGTAGATTCTGAGTTCCCGAGTGAACCAAAGCATCAAAGGTAGGCAGGAGTAAATGGGGTGTTGTCGCGAGGTGATATGACAGTTTTTTTAAACTTATGTGTCACTGTTGAATAAAAGCGGAGTGGTAATTATTTTGTCCTGACGCTCAGAATTGACTGGTTCTCGGAGCTCTATTGCCCCCGTGATTGGACCCACTTCCACAACCTGACGTTCAATCAGTTGCCCCTGTCCTCCACAGCGCGAGCGCGTTTATCCGATACAGTTGTGTGCCCCCTCCACGTTCCTCTTCGAGCCCACAGCTGCTCCGTGAATCCCCGTCAGTTGCGCTCGAGCCATTCACTTTCAAATATGCCTGGGAAGGAGGATGAGGATGGCCAACCATCAAATCCTTCAGCAGGGGCTACCCAGACTCCACTAACCATGGGACAGCGCTCGTCGTCTTTGTCAAAGGTCGTCTTCGATGAAGAACAAAACAGTCTTGATAGGTAGATATGTTCATCAAGTTTAGAATTCATTCGTACATGTTATGAAGTACATCTGAGCGTGAACAGCTGTGTCAACAAGTATTCTGTGCCACAGCAGCTTTCTGCGTGATTCTACTGCTCGGCGTAATCTCGCAAGTGGTCTAATTTTAACTTCATCGTCGTTCAGTGCAGCAACAACTTATTCACACTGTCCCACTGCTGTCGTCGTGGAACAAATTCTAGGCATAGTGATGTGACCACGACCTTACCTCCAAACGCAATGCCTTTTTATTAGCACTTTTGTTCTGCCACCATAGATTATGCTTGCATCGATTCCTTGTTCAACTTAGAATTTTACTTATTCAGTCCACAATACTCCTATTCTAACAAGTTCCCAATTTTTACCGGATCATTCTCAGTGGTGTGGCAAATGTGTTTCCTCGTTTGTGTGTATAATTAAGCTACTGCTATGCGACACTATTCGTGTATTCCTATGGAATGCAGTTATACTTATTTTAGATCATTCCTTTACCACATTAACTTCACTGATCGCCATCCAATGCTACTTGGAATTGGTACCAGTTGGATGTTCTGAAAGAAAAACATGACGCTCATGAGGATCAATGCTGGCAAAATTCGCCCTGAATTTTTGATTCGGCCTCCTTTGAAGCCCTTAGCTTTACGAGTGTAGTATACCATGGTGACCCTTTAAGCCTATTAGACCACCCTAGGTTAAAGACATTGCAGTTACTTTTCTTTCAACCAAGGGATTTCGGCGCCCTTCCAAACACTAAAACTCCAGTAAATAGTTTTCGATTCCACATTTTGCTTCTATTAATTATGTTGAAGCCTCCGGTCTCTTGCTAATTTTAGCTGCTGGTGGACTTTGGAAATCGGCTGTAACTCGTCGATATAGATTTGGCAAGGCCGAGGCATTAATTCGGTGGCTCAAAGGCCTTGCCACAAATGTGATTATAGTTTTTTATTGCTGTCATCTAAATGATGTTTTAAGCTCCGATGTTTGCCTAACTGGGGACTGCAAAAGATGGTGATAATTACTAGAAGTTTTGATCTACTAACTCGCTGGGCAAAAAAATATGTGTTTAGAGTTAGAAATGTAAGCATGATGGAAACCGATTAGTGCGCTAATTTAGATCGGTGACAAGTATGAGGGTGGCGTGTGTTTACTGTTTATGTGTGTAGGTCACGGGCGTTAGTTGTTGTCAGATATTTTTTGCTGATGAAAGGATTCATTCTTTCATCTTCATTTAAGCCATCTCTCCTGTTCTTAAATGTTGTAGTGATTCACAAACCCTCGATTCCTTTCTTATTGTATCACCTCAATCTCTGGGTGCCCGTTTGCGTCTTACATCAACAGGGAAGCAACCTAATTCCACCGTCAATCCGAAATCCAAACCAGATCCAACCACTCATCTACTCCTACACAATCCACCTGCCGTGGAATCGCCCCTTCTGTTGACAAAGTTCTCCCACGTCCGGTTAAGTGAGCTGACTCAAAAGAACTCTTTTTATTCTAACAGGGTGAATGCGACTCCGGTAGCGGCAGCTACGAAGGAGGCTGCAGAAGGGAGTAATCCAAGGGATTCGCTGATAAGTGTGAATCGGAAGTTTAGTCTCTGCCCTTCCTTCTCTCCCTCTCGGCTTATGACTCCATCTGTTGAGGACATAAAACGATATAAAGGTAAGACCGTGTCCGTTTTGAATATTTGCAGTCATTTTAATTGTCAGACCTGCCTTGAAATCGCTTTTTTTAGAATATAGACATTTCTTTTTCCTATTTCGCCCTTACATTAAATAATTAAGTGTTTTGATCCAAGAGTCGTATCAGGTGGAGCGAATGGCTTACATTTTGGAGTACACTATTTAGAAGGATCATTCTGACATTATTTCTTATGTTGAAACTTTCCTGCAATGAAACTCGTTTTCTTGAAAATTAATTTACTGCCTTTGATGAGACTTTTGGTATAACAAGAAAAGGGCAAGCAATCTCGATTTTTTCGTGATCTGTGAAACCAGCTAAGGTTGTAGTAAACAGGTCGACTCCTCTACTTTAGACCTTGCAGGGTCGAATTTAAAATTTCTTGTCATAGCGCAGTGCAGGAGGGCTCAATATCCCCCCGGTATTTGCATTCATGTTCCCACCAGACAGTCCTTTTTGTAAATTTCAGCTTACGCATCAATTCCACTATTGAGCAGTTCTTATGTGCACACGTCTCCCAACACTGTCCTCGTGGTCAAACCGGCCTCAATGAAGGTTTATTCGGTAAGTTTTTTGCCAGATAAGGAAGTTAGGCTGACGCAAGCCGCATGTGACTGGGCCGTCACTACTGACCTACTGTCACCTTTTCCGTATCTCTTCGGAATAAGCCAGTTTTAATGCCTTATCAGGAGCTCCGGTTCAGAGGAAACATTTGCACTCCTAGATCTTCGGATATTCTTGGACACCACTAACCTTTACTATGACATAATGATGCAGTCGTCTCGGTCATTCCTTAGTTAATCAACCTCACCAAGAGCTTGCTGCTTTTTTGTTCTGTGACTCTTCACGTATTTTATTTCTCTCTGCCTTTTCAGAATTCAGTTGAGCTTTCCCAAACTGGAATTTGCTCAATCCCTTACAAATCCCTTTTATCCTATCAAAAACTGGTCAACGAAAAGCAAGTACTTGGTTGATGTTTCTTATCTTTACTACTACTTTACTCGCATTTCATTAATCTATTCGCAAATTGAGATTTTCTAAAGAAGTTTTCCTATTGACATTATCTTATTTGTTCTTGATCTGTTTGAGCAAGTTACTTCTTCCGTGGCAAGTTTGAAATCGAACGAAACAAAAATATTTGGAAAAAAATCGAGATGTTTTCAATTGGAAGTGGTTCGTCTCGCTTTATGTCACCCGATTGAGCGATGGAAAATTGCTGAGCTTGCAACCTGAAACAGTAAGAAATCCTATAAACTAGAAACGCATTGGGTTCGAAGTTGTGCTTAAGCCTTTTTGGCAGTCAGCTTAAGGAAGTGACACCGAGGGGTATAACGTCCAATACTCTTTGATGTTTGTGTCACTTGTGTACCATTTGCCCCATCCTTTGACGTTAACTTGTACGCGCATACTTGGTTTCGCGCACCAAGGCGTCCACGGATCGGAACTGGTGGGCTGGCCATCGAAATTCTTCCCCTTTCTCCTAGATTCGCCGATTTCGTGACTGCTTCTGATGCCGATATTTACTGTGGCGCTGCAACTTGGCTTGTGGGACGCATTCATAAATTGAGATATTCGCAGTTGCAGACGCTATTGCTCATAACTGAAGTACCTAACTAACACCTGCGACCCCAGCACTCAAGTACGGAATAATCTTGCCTGGCATCGAGTAATCTTAAGATTGTAGAACATTCCTCAGGAAAACGTACGCGCTCCCAAAAGCAAAACAAATCAAGATGTTCATCCGGGTTGACCTCACTGTGCGATCTTCTCACTAGGAGAAATAACCATTCGTGGTTTGAAGGCCATGATCGCGATATCGCGAGGTTTCATCTAAGTAAATCGGGTTGCACGTCGCGGCCATTCAGAAAGAGGTCAAGGTTTGCACCACAAGATTAAGTCAATCAACGGGACGCGTCAAGTGTTGTATAAAGCCTGCCAAACGTAAGCCGTGTTTCCTGAAGTATGTGTGGACACAAAGCACTGAGGCAGAGCCATCAGTGAGACTAGTGGTGTACACAAGTCGAACAGCCAAAAGACGCATGCGGTTAGTAGCTCTCGGCTTTTCCGGTGGACGGTGTTAAAGATCTGCAGAAAACTTGTTTGAAGTTGTGTACGAATAAAATATAAATCGAATTTTAAGCCAATAGCAGCACTTTCTGCCTTTTGACGTAGCTCAATTAAATACAAAAAGCAAGATCCCCAATTTAAAATGACTTCTAAGGCACAAGAATGTTCACAGTTTACGTTTATACAAGAAGAGAACGGCCAAATCATTCGTCATGGATGACTGCTAGCCTAGTTCTGTACATGCCTAAATTTCGGTGACTAAGCACCTCCGAGAAGGTCTTTTATGCGATCCCAGCTGGTAAAAGCAGCTCCCGCAAGGCCAATTGTCAAGCCGAAGACTCCGCCGCGAATGCAACGTTGCCAGCCACCAGGTCCAAGTAACCCTAGGAAAAGCATAATCATTTAGACATTACGATGGCCCACAACCTCAATATGCGGAAAAGAAAATTAACTGAGCGGGAGAACGATTCGTCAAGTATATAAGGAACATGTTCAAACGACAGCCTGAATACGCCTTCAATTTCGAAAACAAAATTAAAAATTAGAACTATAATGAGGCGAGCATCGTAAAAGATGTGGAGTAAAAGGCACCCGCACGTGATAAATGCACACGAAACCAAAGAAAATAGTAACAAATGATATACGAATCCAAGCCGACAAATTTTCATGACGTTTCCAATACATCTGGTGATATGAAAATAACATACCCGGACAACGGTACAGCAGACCAGTGGTGGTTGCGGAAGATACCATATTTATTTCATCGTCAGCGCCTCCGCGAAGCTTATGAATAGCGAAATCGGAGAGTGCATAAATGAGGCCAATACTCCCAGCTGTTTGCGCCCAAGAAGCACCGGATTTGGTCACGTAATTCAATAGTTGTGTCCTCTGCAGGGCCTTTGTGGGCAACTTAGCTAAATCTGGGTTGTTTAGAGCTGTGTACAGTGCTCTTGTTGAACCCACAGCGCAACCTACAGCTTCTATTATTGTTAAGCATCATATCTTACCGCCAATTACCATCGATCCGATTTCGGAGAAAGACCTTTCAAAACGACCTCGATGCTTCACCCCTTCCGGAAAAATGAACTGTTCTGACGGGTCCTACAGAATGATATTTTTTTGAAAATGGACGAACGTTCACCAAAAGTGAAGGATCGATGTTCAGGAAAGGCGATACAAATAGATCCCCATCTGACATGGCGGAAGCTACACGATGGCA